GCAGGCTCGCCTTGGAGCGGCCGGGCCCGAGAGGCCGGCGTCGCCAGCCCCCGAACTTGCACCGCCTTGCACTGGGCTCCTCCGCGCTGCCTGGCTCTTAACGGCCTCTGCCCACTCATTCAGCATCCATTGAGCGCTCACAGTGCACCAGGTTGCGGCAGGGTTGCGGCACGGTGCAGAACTAAGGCGGGTCTGGGGGTGAAAGGGGGGCTGCTTTCCAGTGGGTGGTCCTCGAGGCCTGACAATGGAGCTGAGACCTGAGTGGAGTAAAAGAGTGGAAAGCAGAGCAAGTGCCAAGACCCAGACATGGGACAAAAGGAAGCACAATGCAGTAGTTTGCTGTACGAGTTGGCACCTGAGTGGTGCCTGTGATTTGTAACCCCGGTGCCCAGCAGTGCCAGTACACGTGAAACACGTGAAAGCCCTCTATACCACAGGTCATCCTCTCCCAGAGAGTTCATTCCCTGAGTCACAGAGCTCTTGACTGCTGGGGGAGTTGGCTTCAGAAAGTGATCTCCCAAGCTGGGAGGGTTCAGGCAGTTCCTAAAGCTGGAGGTATTGCATGCTGTGTGTAATATCCCCTTATCTTGAGGGTTGTACATGACAATACTTTCATCCCTAGATTGCCAAAGGAAGAGAGATGCTTCTAGTAAACAGGCTAGAGAATAGAGCCAACAGTCTTCAACTTTTTTGTTTTTCCTGAGTGATATGGGGCTGCATAGGCTTGTACACAGTTATCAAGGCTGGAGAGTTATCTTGCTTTATTTAGTTTGGGAAGACAAGTATGTTGCCCCAACATTGCTGGAGGTGTGACCTTACGTAAGGTAACAACCTCTTTGGACTTTGATTTCCTTGTTGGCAGTAGGGATGGTTCACTGCGTGAGCTTTTTGGCTGTACTCTTCTGAAGAACCAGTGCCTCCCTATGTACTGGGCACAGCAAATCTGTGTCAAAGACAGCATGGCACCATCCAGTACGGCCACCATCTAGTGACTCCTGCTGTTTACACACTCCCTACTCCCAGCCAGGCACTTTACTAAGCTGCTTAGTTGTCAGCAGCCATGTAATAATGCTTTTTTAAAAAACAAGGTCTTGCTAAGTTGCTTAGGGTCATGCTAAATTGTTGAGGCAGGCTTTGAACTTGTAGAACTTCTGCCCAGGCCACTGGGAGCAATAATGCTTCTCCATCAGCCTTTTCCAGGTCAAGAATAAGCTCAGAGAGATTGGGTGACTTTGCCCAAGGTCCCATAGGTGCAGCTGCACTCCAGAGCCTGTGTCCTCACTACATACTACTTTTTGGATCTGATTTGGTGTGGCAACTTCAGAAAGAGTCCAATAATGTCACATTTCATCAAGTGAAAATAAGCTTAGGAACTAAAAGAATTGTATTCTAAGCCAGGAATGGTGGCATACATCTGTAATCCCAGCCACTGAAGAGTTTGAGACAGGAAGATCTCAAGTTTGAGGGTAGCTTCAGCAGCTTAGTGAGATCCTATCTCAAAATATAAAAAGGGATGGGGATGTAGTTCAGTGGCAATGCTGCATTCAATCCCCAGCATGGGGCTGAGTGGAGGGAGGTAATGAATAAAAAAGGATTATATTCTGTAGCTAATATAATGGGAATGTTATAAATTCTACCTGCACTCACAATAATGTAACTTTATGGCCCATTGTGCTAATAATCTTTCAACCTCACTGTGCCTTGGAGGCCACAAAGGCAAACCAGGTGTGTACCTTGCCCCTGAGGAGTTATGAACTAATAGAAGGTAAGGCATGGACTAGATAACTTCTTTAAAAAAAAAACTGTAGTTGTATATGGACAGAAAGCATTTTATTTGTTTTACTTTTATGCAGTGGTAAGTTTCAAACCCAGTGCCTTCCACATGCTGTAGCTCTGCCACTGAGCGATAACCCTAGCCCCCAGGTAATTTCTAATCAAGGTCAGAAAGCTAGAGATCAACATAAAGAACTAAATGAATTTAGTTCATTTAGTCTCACCTGGCAAAAACTCTTCTAGATACCCTTGAGAGCGCTCCTTGGTAAATCTGTCAACTTCAGTCTGTTCTGCCTCTTATCTATTGTGCTATGGTGGCACTGTTTTCCTGTCTGCTTCACCTATCTACTCCCTGGGGAGTAGAGAATCAATGGAGATTTTGAAAGGATAGGTGTAGTGCTCCATCCCAGCTGATCCAATCCAGCAGGTCTGCAGGGACTGGGGCAGGGCAGGACAGGGAAAAGCCTCCCATTAGTTCAGGTGTGAGATAGGCTTGGATACTGTTTATAAATAGGAATCATAGATATTTAGTAAGTTTACATAATTTTTATTTTATTTTATTTATATGTGGTGCTGAGGATCAATCCCAGGGCCTTACATGTGCCAGGCAAGTGTTGTACCACTGAGCCACAATCCCAGCCCCAAGTTTACAGAATTAAATACACATATAGCAAAATATCAAGTATAATACCTATGTGGTAAGTCAGTCTGGATAGCGGATAAATATATTATGGGACTAATTCTGCTGCTGGTCATTCTAGAACAATAGGTCTTGGTGTGTGTGTGTGTGTGTGTGTGTGTGTGTGTGTATAATATGGTGTATGTGTAATATACCAAGAGCTTAGAGAAAAATTCTGACTAATAGTAAAAGGAAACGAATAATGGTATTGAAGGATATACAGAGTAAACCTAGTTGTCAGTGAGTCACAGGTAGCCCAGGAATTGGGGACTCATGGGACACTGGCATCAGCTCTACACAAAAACCATAAACCAAAATGTTAAATTGTCTCTGCTGTTTGCAATATAGAGATGAGAGATGGACCCCAGCTTGCTTTCAGTGAGGGTTTTTATTCTGCCCTGTGTGATGACATTTTTGACCTTTCACTGGCACAGGATTGAGTCCAAAAGAGGACCTGTTTGTGTCCCAGATCAGTGGTTCTCAACCGAAGGTGTTTTGCCCCATAGGGAAGGGGCCTTCAGCAACATCTGGAGACATTTTTGAGGGTCACAACTTGGGGGTGCTGCACTGGCTTCTAGAGGGTGATGGCAGGGATGGTGTTCAGCTTCCTACAGTACAGGACAGCTCCACACAACAGAGAACTACCGGTCTGAAGTGTCACTCTGCCAAGGTTGAAATACTCTGCCTTGGACCTTTGCCTTTCTCCCTCTGAGAAAATGCTCACTCAGCTCTACAAGGGCATGAGCCTTGTCCTGCTCCCACCTTCTCCTCTTCTCTAACACCTATGACTATGTTTGGCACAGGGTTGGCATTCAGTAAATATTGTGGAATGTTGTTGAAGACAACAGTTGTCAGGTGTTTTGCTGTTACAGGCAGTGAGTACTACCTTGAACTTCCTAGAACATTCATCCTTGTGCCCATGTGAGTGTTTTGGTTTTTTTTAATTGAATCTAAAACAAACAAACAAAAAATGGAATTGCTGGATCAAAAAGCACAGGCATTTAAAATTTTGATGGATATTATATTTTAATTTGTTGAAGATATGAAGTCCCTCTCCTAGAAGTGTGCCCTTGGAGAAATACACATGTATGCACATACTATGAAATTTTAGAACAGACCATAAGAACAGAGGGAGAGAACCTGTTCATCAACAAGAGACTAGTGTACTCAGTGCAGAGAATATGAGCACCTAGAGCTTCACAGGTCAATGTGGATGCATTTCTCACAGCAAAATAGGGAGTGAAAATGCCCATCAAGGTACAGATTATTTCATTTATATAAAGTCTAAAAACATTTCAAAACTGAACCATATTTTTGGAGATAGTCACATGCAGTATAAATTTTAAAAATATACAGGAATGAACAGGGCATTTGGGATATGGTAAAGAAAAGGGTATGTATGTTGGAAGGATTTGGGAGGGCTTTATGAACTGCTTGTGTTACCTTTACAGGTGGGTTGTAGGACCCTGTTGGTTACTTTGTTCTTTATGGCTTTTTTGGTTTCAGAATTTCATTCATTTGGGGGACAGGGGTGGTGGTGGAAAATGAGCTCACTGGTACTGGGCTGGGGATGTGTTTAGGTGGTCCAGCTTTCGAGAGGCTCAGCTTGCCAGAGGTCCTGGATTCTATTCCCAGCACTGTAACAAATGAGCTCACATTGCATGGAGTCCAGTTTAGAGCACAGTACTAAGTAATCCAAGTAAAACCACATGGATAAAACTAAAGCAAGGAATTATTTCTTTTTTTTTTTTTAATATTTATTTTTTAGTATTGGCGGACACAACATCTTTGTTGGTATGTGGTGCTGAGGATCGAACCTGGGCCGCACGCATGCCAGGCGAGCGTGCTACCGCTTGAGCCATATCCCCAGCCCCAAGGAATTATTTCTTAATGAGTCATGAAATAATTTAGTAGATTATGACTAATATATATATATTAGTCATTTTATATATACATACATATATATATATATATATATATATATATTTTTTTTTAATGATGTGGATTGCCAGTGGCAGTGGTGCATGCCTGTAATCCCAGCAAATAGGGAGACACAGGAGGATCTCAAATTCAAGCTAACCTCATCAATCTAGCAAGGCCCTAAGTAACTTAGACCCTGTGTCAAAATAAAGAGATTTAAAAAGGGCTGGGATAATCTGCCCAGAGTAAAGTGCCCCTGGATTAAATCCCCAGTACCAAAAAAAAAAGTGGACTACATAGCACATGAGAGGGCATTTATGTAGGATGGTGAGTGTTGCATGAACTGTTACTTCATTTGTGTCCACAGTGTTTCAGCAGATGTACTTGGTTGTGGTGTAACATGTATCCCTGTGCTCTGTGGTCAGAGAGGTTTGGAAACTCCTATAAACACTACAGACATAGGACATAGCCTTTATATGTAAGTTCAAACTTAGAGTTTCAACGGTAGATTTGTGATGATTACAGAAATATCAATGAGCATAATTCTGTCTTTCTCTTTCCTGGTTTCCTCTTTCTATATTTAAGCAACTAGAAACCATATGTGTCAAGGTGACACCTGGAGACGTGAAAGATCAGGAAAGGCCGATGCCACCGCTGGCCACCATCCAGCCCCAAACAGCAAGACAGAGCCAGCCTCCGGGGAGGAGCTCCAGCCTGGTGGGGCTGCGCGTGGCCTGCCCTCAGCTGCTTAGGGGGCAGCCCTCGGGGAGGACCGGGCCACAGCTGTGCTTCCTCAGAAGCTCACTTCGGCCTCCTGTTCCTCGGGTGTTTGTACAGAGGCCCCTGCCCGCCCTCCAGCCAGTCCCTCCAAAGAGAGTCAAGGCCTCCCAGGCTCCAGGTGGCCAAGGTGACCGGTTGACTGCTCTGGCAGCCTCTCACCTGCCCACAAGAACGTCCATTTCTTCCAGTTCACATTTACTCATTTCCAGCTTGCACACGAAACATGCCAAGAAGCTAAAAAAATCTTTCAAGGTGCAAACTCGTTCTGGACGGATATCTCGACCTCCTAAGTACAAAGCTAGAGACTATAAATTCATCAAAACAGAGGACTTGGCTGAAGGGCACCCTTCGGATTCCGACGACTACTCAGAACTGAGCACGGAGGAAGAGGAAGGCCAGAGGGAGAAGCAGGCTCTCTTTGACTTAGAGAGCTGTGCCCTGAGGCCCAAGACCTTTCGGTGTCAGACTTGTGGCAAGTCATACATAGGAAAGGGGGGACTGGCCCGGCATTTTAAACTTAACCCAGGCCACGGCCAGGTGGATCCTGAGACACCACTGCCTGAGAAGGCCACTGGAAGTCTCTCCCTGGGATGCACGGAAGAAAGGACTGGAGGCCTGACCTCTCCAGAGCGGTGCGCACCAGCTGCTAAACGTGAGGAAGGGGCAGAGTCAGAACAGGGTGGCCAGCAGGTAATGATGTTTGGTGACAGTGTTCTTATCCCTGTCCCTTCCTGCCCACCATTCTTAAATTAACCCTCACCTTGAGTGATGGGAGTTCGAGATGCAAGTTGTCATAGTGAGGGTCTGCTTTGCTGCCAAGCTGGCGAGTGCTCCCCACCCAGCAACCTCATTTGGTGGGCACATTCAGTGGAACCCAGCTGCCAGGTTTTTGTTTTGTTTTGTTTTGCTTTTTCTGTAGTACTAGGGATTGCACCCAGGGGGCTTTACCACTGAGCCACATCCCCAGCCCTATTCTATATTTTATTTAGAGAAAGGGTCTTGCTGAGTGCTTAACGCCTCCCTGTTGCTAAGGCTGGCTTTGAACTTGCTATCCTCCTGCCTGAGCCTCGTGAGCCACTGGGATTACAGGCATGCATCACTGCCCAGCCCTAAAATATTTTGAGACAGGGATTTTGGGAAGTTGTCCAGGCTGGTTTGGAGCTTGGGATCCTCCTGCCTGGGCCTCCTGAGTGGCTGGGATCACAGGGGTGTGCCACTGCACCCCACCCTGTTAGTGGCTGCTGCAGCGCAATCCTAACATTTTTTCATGAAGTTCCATTTGTTTGTTTTTTCCTCTTCTTGCTTCTGCCTTTAGTGTCATATCCCAGAAATAACAGCCAGACCCAATGTCATAAAGTCTCTGCCCTAGGTTTTCCTCTGAGAAGCTCATGGTTTTGAGGTCTTTCATTGAGGTTTCGGTGCATTTTGAGTTAGCTTTTGATAGTGTTAAGTAGGGTGCAGCTTCATTCTTTTGCTCTGGGTATCCAGGTTTCCCAGCTTCCCTTGAAACAGGCTTGATACTCTTTTGTTTATTTTTATGTGGTGCTGATGATTGAACCCAAGGTCTAACGCATGCGAGGCGAGTGCTCTACCACTGAGCCACAATCCCAGCCCAGGCTTGATACTCTTGTCAGAAATTATTTGACGAGGCTGGGGCAGTAAAATAGAGGTATTATATCCATCTATAATTTATAATTATATAATTATTTGACTGTCAAGTGCAGTGGCACATGCCTATAAGCCCAGAGTCTCTGGAGACTAAAGCAAGAGGGTTATAAGTTCAAGGCCAGCCTGGGCAACTTAGGCCCCGTCCCCTTCATTCCTAAAGGTCACATGGTACTTAAAGCCACAGGTAAACCTGGCATTCCTCCTAAAACTTCCATTGCAATGAAGATTTGAAAGGGAAGTTCTTTGAGAGTTAAGGGCAGCCAGGTGCAGTGGCCAGTGCTGTATTCTGGCTACTTAGAAGGCTGCAGCAGGAGGATTGTTTGAGCCCAGGAGTTCAAGGCCAGCCTGGCAACCTAGTGAGACTGTCTCAAAAAGAAAGAAAGAAAGAAAGAAAGAGAGAGAGAGAGAGGGAGGGAGGGAGGGAGGGAGGAAGGAAGGAAGGAAGGAAGGAAGGAAGGAAGAACCAAGGGGGGGCTGGGAGGAGCTTAGTGGTAGAGCGCTTGCCTAGCACCTGTCAGGCACTGGGGTCGATCCTCAACACTGTATAAAAACAAACATAAAAACAAACAAAGGTTCATCGACAACTAAAAAAAATGGTTTAAAAAAAAGAAAAGAACTAAGTGGACTGTGTGCTCACTGCATGTCAAGCACTTCTCGCCTGTTGGCTTGTGGGCCCTATAGCTGTTGGTAGGTGTGTTGTGGCTCCCATCTTCATTTTCAGAGGCAGGAATTGGCAACGAGGAAGTCACTGGACAGCGTCAGATCCAGGATTCTCTCCCAAAAGCCCTGTCAACCCATGAAAACAGAAATTAGATTAGCAGCTGTGGGCTCTGGGGACAGGTGGGGTCAAGGCAGGAGTTCTTTCTAAGGTGAGGAAGTAAACTGAAATTGGTGAGGAGGGTCACTTATCTTGCAATATATGTAACCCACTGAATTTTAAGCTTTCAGAGGATGGATTTCATGGTATTTGAAATATACACTATAAAAAAATGTAAAGCAATGCTTAAGGAACAAAACTCAAGCTGATTTTTTTCTTTGATGCTGAGACTTGAACCCAGGGCTTTGAGCCTGAGGAGAGAGGCTGTACCACTGGGCACTCAGTCCCAGCTTCATTTTCAAGGTGACATCCCATCAGAGAAGTTTCTTACTTCATCCTAGGGTGTGGTGTGTCAGTCCAGACTAACTGGCTGGCTGATGATCATCTGGTATCTGAAAGGAAAGTTTAAAATGCACTGATTACGGTTCAAGAGTTTAGATTAAAGAAGAAATAACTGGGCTAGAGGAGCTCAGTGGTTGAGCACTTGCCTAGCAAGCTCCTGGGTTCCATCTCTAGCACTGCCAAAAAAAGACAAAGAATTCAACAAGTTCCTTTTTGGGGGTGGGGGAGCCGGTTACCAAGGGCATTCTACCACAGAGCTGTATCTCTATCCTTTTTAAATTTGTTTAGAACCAGGGAGCTTAACTGCTGAGCCACATCCTCAGCCCTTATTACTTTTATTTTGAGACAGGATCCCGCTAAGTTGCTTAGGGCCTCACTAAGTTGCTGAGGCTGGCTTTGAACTCGTGATCCTCCTGCCTCAGCCTCCTGGGATTACAGGCGTGTGTCACTCAACCTGGCAAGGTTCTTGCTTTTGATTTTTTTTTTTTTTTTTTGCTTGAAGGCTTTCATGGTGATATATAGAAAGCATGCCTGTTTTATTTTGTTTTGGGGTGTGTGACATTATCCAGGATGGGCAGTCTGTAGAAGAGGCATTGGTACCTGAGCCAGAAAATGGAAGTCATTCAGCTCTTTTGGGATCAGAGAGTCACCTTGGACCTAGAAGAAGTGGAGACTTGCAGACCCTGGCAGAGTCTAGTGCAGCTGTCCATCAGAGGATCCGAGCATCCCAGCCCCACGAAGGCCCTGCTGGGACCATGAGGAGGAATGCCTCAGGGAGCAGAGCCCTGCTGGAGGAGGTAGACACTCTTACATCCTGTTCTGGATACTGTTTCTTTGTCGTGGTAGTGGGAAGTCACTGTTAGGTTTCTGAATTTAAACCATGACCAAGAAAAACACCATGACCAAGTCAGCAGTTCACCTGCAATGATACAGGATGAAGTATGTAATCAGTTCAATGTGGGGTTATCTGAAATAACGCAGAGGCTTACCTGTTTAAAAAGACCATAGGACGGCTGGGGTCACAGCTCAGCAGCAGAGCATTTGCCTTGCATGTGAGGCACTGGGTTCAATCCTCAGCACACATAAAAACAAATAAATAAAATAAAGGCATTGTGTCTACCTACAACTAAAATAAATAAATAAATAGATAGATAAATAAAATGACCATAGGACTTCCCATGTAGTTCCAAGAGCTGCTTGCATTTGTAAGTTTGGAATAATTATAATCTGTATTTACTTGGAAGAAGTTTGGAAGACAATAGAAATGAGTTCCTCTTTTTCTGTAAAAAAGTTTAAATTATGCAAAGAATGTTTCAGGTTTAGGACCCTGTTGTCTCCATTCTAGTTCCATAAAAATATTAGATTTATTGAATTTAACTGGCTTGGCTTAGAAAAGTAGAACCCTGAATTCATCCACATTATCTTGATTATAATCAGGTGAAAGTTGTTTTTTTTTTTTGGTGGGGGGGGCAGCTATCCTGGGAATTGCATGCTAGGCAAGAACTCTACCACTGAGCTATATCATCAGCCCTTTCCAGGAGAATATCTTAAAAAGAAGTAGAAAATATAGCAAGACAACATGAGACAAGTCAGCAAGATGACTGGCCCCAGATAGTGTCTAAAGGGGCCCAGGGCCTCCAAACTCTGAGATCCATGGGCAGAAGTGGTTTTCTAAGAGGAAATGAGTTTCCTTAAGTTTCTTTTTTTTTTTTTTTAAAGAAACTTGGAGCTGACCCTTTAGGTTGGGGGATCAGGTGCTAGTCAGCTGCAAGGTTTTTGTTTTTCATTTTTTTTTTAGAGAGAGAGAATTTCAATATTTATTTTTCAGTTTCCGGCAGACACAACATTTTTGTATGTGGTGCTGAGGATCGAACCTGGGCCACACGCATGCCAGGCGAGCGCGCTACTGCTTGAGCCACATCCCCAGCCCCTGAAGTTTCTTAAGGCACAATGTAATGTTGCCCATTCTAGCAGCTAATTTAAACCTTGGGGGATTAGCTTTCTTTGCATTTGGGTTTGTGTTATGAGAGTGTTGGATGATTAATTTTTGGAAGTATGGATTGAGTAGGTGGCCTTCGTCTAGAATCCTGCATTGACCCTGAAAAGAACTACCACTTACTGAGCACTTCCTGCAAGGTAACTAGCCTGCCACTCCCTGGCACCCCCTTGCTGGCCTGGACAAACCTCCTTTCGTTTATTCTTTATGATCATTGCCTTGTCTCTATAGTGGAGGAACCCAAAACCCAGCCACCCAAATGACCTGCACAGGGTCACTGCAGGCAGGAGATGGGTTCAGAATATACAAAACCCCATGTGTCACACAGAGAAGTGGAGGACTGCTTTGAATGGGACCATTCTCCATTCTTTTAGATGAGAACTTTCGCAGAAGTTGACATTATATGTTTCTTGGGTTTTTGTCGAGTATTAGGCCCAGTTCTGGGTAAGGAGGGGACAGTGTACACAAGATAGACACAGCCCCTGCTCGGGGGAAAATGGGGCAGTCAAACCTGCCAATCAGTGGACAAAACCACCATGGACCTGGGCATTGAGTATAATTTGAGATGCCCTGTCTGCTGCTTCCTCTGTCTTCCACACCCGACCACGCAGCCTCCCTGAACTCCCTGGTCTTCCTGTCTCCCAGAGTTCCTCTGCTTTTCCTCACTTCATTGCTACCCTGCTTGAGCTCCCTCATCTGCCTGGTTTCTCCAACCTTCTTCCCTCTGCAGACTCTCTGTCACTTCCTGTTCAGACTGCTCTCTAGAGCCTTGGCTCTTGTATTTGAAATCTTTGCGCCTGGAGTCCCATGAACCCCTCGGTGCTCCGCTGAGGGGGGCCTGCACACTGGCTTCCTGCCTACCCTTGGTGGAGAGCTGCTTTGCCTAGTGCTCAGTCAGGCTGGGAACCCCAGGCTTTCTTGTCTCTTTCCCCTTCATTCACCTTTCCCATGTCCAATGACCCCAAATCTGGCGGACTGTGCCTTCCCTGTCCCTCCTGCCCACACTCTTGTTGTCAACTGGGTCCTCACCCGCCTCCCACTCTGTTCCCTGCACTGCCACTTAGGGACATGATTGAAACCTCCCTCCATACTCTGCCTTTGGAAGGAAATACAAACCCTCAGGCCCTCGCAGCCTGGCTGGCCTGCCTGTCAGTCCCAGGTGCTGCCTACGGATATCCCTCTGTCCTTTCACTCCATGAAGCACTAACCTCTGTAGCTTCCTGACTTTGCATTTCTGTGAGCTTCCTCCACAGTAGAAGGAAGCTCATACATTTCCCCAGAGCCATGTCCTTACTCCTGGGCCTTGTCTCAGAACCCAGTGCTTATCATGTGGGACTCAAACATTGAAACCAGAATTGACCACAGCACTTTGTTAATGGGCGAACAAGTGAGATGCTTAATGAAGTGGAATGTAGCTTAGAGTTGCCAGGTTTGGGGAGAACTTTTTCCTGTTACGATGCACCAGCTTGCTGATTGTTGGGAAATTCTTATGGGCTTTAGAGGTGGCAAATGCTTTCTTTTGGCAGTGTCTGCAGCATTGTGACCAGAAGGATCTGGTGGAGTTGGCGCTGCCTCAGCTGGCTCAGGTTGTGACCATGTATGAATTCCTTCTGATGAAGGTGAGTCTTGGTGGAGCCTCGAACCACGGAGGGGATGCTCTGAAGTCATGCAGGAGGACATCCTTGCTGTGTATTTGGGGAAGACCTAGGCCATGTGGAATCCTTCCCTTCTCCAGGACAGGGCTGAAGTGAGCGCCAGTGCCTGGTGCAGGGCCAGTGTCTGGTGGGGAATCTTAGGCATTCCACTTGTCACTCTCTTGATTGTTTAACTTTGTGTAGGAGAGTGACAGTGGGAGCAGCAACTGTGGCTAGGTCTCCATGCTACCTGGCTGGCTTCCTACATGGGGCTCTGCTCTTTATACCACCTCTGAAGACGCAGCCCTGCAGACGCAGCCCTGCCTGCGCCCCATGCTTCCCATAGAGGCTGCTGCAATCCCTGGAGCTGCACATGTGCACAGGGGCTGGCAGCCAGCCTGTCCCCAGGCCTTCCTGCCTCCCCTCTGCTCCCTCACCTCCCCACCCTCAGGGCTCTGCGGCCATCATGCCAAGGGCTGTGTGTTTTCTGGTCAGCTCCTCCCAGGCCCATCCTGGCCTCCCCAGGCTGGGCACAGTGCCAACACAGAGCAGGCACCCCGAGGGGAGAAGGAGGCGCCGCCATCAGCCATTTCTAGGGCTGAGGAACCCGTGTCCTTCTCTCTTTAGGTTTTTTTTTTCCTTTTGTGTTTTCTACACCGTTGCCTCAGGTTTAAACTCTTTTTGTCATCTTTATCTTCACGAAGGTTGAGAAAGGTCATCTGGCAAAGCCTTTTTTCCCAGCCGTGTATAAGGAATTTGAAGAGTTGCATAACATGGTTAAGAAACTGTGTCAAGATTACCTCAGTGGTTCTGGTCCATGCTCTCAGGAGCCCCTGGAAGTAAACAATGATAAGGTAACAGCCGCACACAGCAGAGTTTTGCTCTCAGGGTTTCTAAGAAGGATGACTGTGAACAAAGAGGTTTTCAGCCATGACATCATAGTCAGCCAAGTGGATTGTTTGTTTCCTTCATGTAAAGGCACTAAATATTGTTGCAGAAAACTCAAAAATGCAGATGAGCCAAAAGAAAACTGCACCCTTCACCTTCCGCCCCCTGCTGTCGGGCCGCACCTCCAGGCCTGGTGCTCTGCTCCTCGTGAGCCTTCACGTGGGCCCATAGGGCCAACAGTTTGCCGTGCCAGATTGTTTGGACGAGGTTCTCATTTCAGTTTCATTGTCATCATCACAGTGCCTTTAGCTAGATTGGGCTCTTTACCTGGAAAAGTCTTGAGCTGACATTGTTTTGGATGAAACCTGTGCTGGGCACAAGCCTGCACCCGTGGTCCTGTCACCCAGGGGCTGTTCTCAGGGACTGGACTGGGGTCTGGCCCCACCGTCTGTGAGGCAGCACCTCACTGACCTGGCAGAGCCCCTCCCCTCTGGTCTCTGCTCCTCGGTGGGAGAGGGTGCTGACTCAAATGGCCCTCGATGGTTCTCACAGTATGGCCCTGGCTTGAAATAGTCCTCCTTGAAACCATCTGATGCACGTGAGGCATTGGAGCGTATTTAGGGGGTTGCGTTGCCTAACTCCCCTTCCCTCTGCTGCTCCTTTTTGCTGAGAAGGACAAGGTTCCACGGCATAGGGACTCTTCTGTGGCACGCACGCAGTCTTGGTCTGTTTTCCCCCTTGGTCCATTCTTGATAGTTATCATCTGTTCCTGGTTTTGATTTTGGTGTTTTTATTGGTTGTCATTGTTAGTTTTACACAAATTCATCATTTACCATATTCCTCAATGAGCCTTTATACTTTATTTTATTTTTTGAAATTACTATTACAAAAATATAATGGATTCCTGGTAAGCCTCCTGTAGCTTCCCCAGTTCAGAATAGTTACCTATGTGTTTATTTTGTTTTTGCTTTTTTTTTTTTTTTTGGTACTTGGGGATTGAACTCAGGGGCACTCTACCACTAAGCCACATCCCAGCCCTATTTTGTATTTTATTTAGAGACTTAGAGTCGGGTCTCACTGAGTTGCTTAGCGCCTCACTTTTGCTGAGGTTGGGCTTTGAACCCGCGATCTTCCTGCCTATTTTTTTAGTTGTAGATGGACACAATGTCTCTATTTTTATTTGTTTATTTTTATGTGGTGCTGGGGATGCTGGGGATCCAGCCCAGGGCCTCACAGGCACAAAGCAAGCGCTCTACCACTGAGCTACAACCCTAGCCAGTGAGCTGCTGCTTTTTAAACTGTTAAGTTAAACAAGTGTGGATATCCTGTTGTGCAGCAGAGCTGGATGTGTACAAAATTCTGTGCATGCCCACCAGAATCCTCTCTTGTAGTAGTTCAGATTGTGCCACAGCCTCTTTGGAGCAACAACATCTCTGTTTATAAAGGGACACTCTCCAGCATGGTCAGCACCAAGCACATCTGGCCCTGTTTTCTGGTTGGCCTTGAGGTACCCTTCCCTCTGCCTGCCGCAGTCTGATGCCCATGACGTTCTCCTTACAAGGCCCAGATAGGCGACCATGGCTGTGTCTTTACACCTCATATCTGGTGCTTTGCATGTGGAATCAGATCCATTCTTTACAAAACCCTAACAGTCAGCTGACCTCAGGGAGGCCACTGAGGCTCAGGGAGCTAGTGGCTTCCTAAGGTCCACCCAGCTGGGAGCAGAAACTGCACTCTAGCATGGCTGTCTCAGGCCGGCACCATGCCCTCTTCACCACCTGGGAGGGAGATATAGATGTGAACTGGCAGGATTGTTTTCTGCAGAGACAAAGGAGAATTTTTAAAAGGAGGGATAATGTACAAGAAAGATACCAAGGTACAAGCTAGCACAGTAAGTGTGTGTTAGCCTTAAAAAGTGTGGTTTATAGTTTTAAAAGTGCCATTTATTCTGTCTTTGGCACTGAGCTAACCCATTACCATTCTGGGTAATGATCCATTTCCTCAGGAGCTTTTCCCTCTGACTTTATGTTTGTGCAGAGGCACCACAGCCTGAAAGCCCGTCACTCAACTCATGGGTCCGCATGCTTCTGCAGACCTGCATCTGTACTGAGAGAAGCTTATTTCTACTGGCCCTTTCCTCTTCAGGTTGCTGAATCACTAGGAATCACGGAGGAATTCCTGAGGAAGAAAGAAACACACCCAGGCTGCAATCCCCCCAAGCGCCCTAGCCAAGAGATGGAAGGGGAGAAGCTAGAGGCAGCCAGCCACCAGCAGAGGGGAAATGAGGTGGGCTGCTCGTCGGCAGGCACAACCTTAAACGTGTGCCAGATGCTGAGTTGGTGGTCATGGGTCCCCAGCACTCGTCTCTAGGAGGGAGAGGTGCAGCTCCACCTGTGGCTTCTGGGCTCAGCCAGGGGGTCTTCTCTTCACAGGCCACAGAAGAGGAGCTGGCCATGGTGAAAAGGCCCCGAAGAGACGCTGTGTGCACAGATGCCCTCAAGTCTCCTGCTGCCCACAGTGGAGGCCAGGAGAAGACCGGGCCTTCCAATGCCCCAGCTGCCTGTGAGGGTAAAGCATGCTCAGTGGGTTTGAAGGGTGCCGTGCTCAGATGCCCTGCTGGTATGACAGATGTGCCCAGGCTGGCACTTTTCAGGGTTGGGTGCCCCTGTGGCTGAGTTTAAGAGAACTCTCTGGTCTCAGGTTTATCCCAACTTCCCAGTGTTCTGGCATTCTGTGTCCATGACCCACGAGCCTTGAGCTCTTTCAGGTTCCTAGATCCCCTTATTAAAAGTAAGAGTCATTTGGAGGTGGTGAGCGGGTTGCACCATGGTGGTCCTGAGGGGTTGGGCGGAGATTTGAAAAAAAGACATGGTGTGGCTTTTATTCTGGCTGCCTGACCCTGCGATAGATATTCTGTATGCTCTGTGACAGTGACTTTATGCCTCTGTGCAGTTGTATCAGTGCCATGGGATTCCTTGCCTGCTCCTAAGTTCTCAATTAGAAGAGACAATTCCACCCCAGGACTCATTATTTAACTCTGCCACAGGGGAATGCAGAGTGGTTCAGAGTGGGGATGAAAGCTCTTTGGTATCAGTCTGGAACACAGCTCTTTTGCTTAGCTGGTCTGTTTCCTCTCTGGCTTCAGCCAGACTTGGAGACCGAGTGATCAATGCTACAGTTCACTTCAGTTTAACTGACAGTTCCTAAGTGTCTCTGTGTGCCCTGTGTTGCCCTTGTCCTAGTGCCCAGGTCCAGGGCTGGGTCAGAAGGTTTCCTCACCCTCAGGGCTCTGCCCTCCAGAACAGTGGCTCCTAATTGGATGTGCATCTGAATTACCTGAGGAGATCATTCTGAAAAACAAGGGCTGGGGAATACAGGTCTGGGATTGGTATATTTTGAAATATTTTGAATACTTTCAAAAGCCTCTCAGGTGATTCTTGGGCTTATCTCTGGTGAAGAACCACTGGTCTTTCATTTCAGTGTCAGAATAAAATGACTGAATGGCTTTTGGAACATGTTTCTATGACAAAATCTGCCTCTGCCAATAGTTACTAGGGATTAAAAGAAAAAGGATTTGCTGCCTGTGTCTGAGCAGCTGGGAGAGTTGTTTTTTTCTTTGCAAGAAACTTAATTTGGACCAGCTCGTTTTGGACGGTGTGGTGAATAGGCCAAGATCTAGGAGCTCACCTGTTTTTCCAAACTATTTAGGTTTTGCCTCTCCAGCAAGTGGGAGCGCCCCTCCCTATTCTGAAGAAAGCCATGGGATGGCACTTTTTAATAGTGGCAGAAGCAAATTACATGTGGGCCAGCAGCTTAAAGCTTTTGATGACTTCAGAGCCAGGAGGAGGTCTGTGGGCTCCGCTCCCCTGTGCGGGGCCACCAGTCGGCCAGCTCTTCATGCTCAGTTAAGAGAGCCTGGGGGCCTGCCTCCGGCCCAGGTGGCAGCACTTCCTGAAGATAATGATCCGGAACACTCTGCAGACTCCAACACCAGGGACAGCCAGAGGAGCCCAGGTGTCTGTGGTGTCCTGTCAGGTAGAAGAGGGGAATGCCTGCTGCCTGGCAGGTCTGGAAGTGCAGAGGTAGGGAACCGTGGTGAGATGTGTGGCTCCCACCTGAACTGCCAGCAGGTCGGCCCCAGGCACTCTGTGGCCCCTTCACTGAAGATTTTGCCCATGGATGCCATGCCAGTAGACTGTGCCTCCAGAACGGTGTCAGAGCCAGGGCCTCAGCCTGGCCCAGACGGATCACTGCCAACTAAAGAGGGTCTTGGAAGCCAAGCTGGGGACTTGAACTGGTTCCCCTGTGGGACACAGGTGCACATTGACCAGAGAGAACTGGAAAGTGTGGTGGCTGTAGGGGAAGCCTTGGCATTTGAAATTCCCAGTGGGTGTCAGATGTTGTCTCAGGAACAGATTTTTATTCAGACTTCAGATGGGCTTATCTTGTCCCATCCAGGCACCATAGTGTCTCAGGGGGAGGACATTGTCATAGTGACTGATGCCAAGGGGCCTGCCCTACAGACTGGTCCACCAGAAGAGGGTCCTCCAGAGACTGTGGAGACATTCCTCACTGTAGAGACAGAGCCCTCCCAGTGACAAGGAGTCCAAAGCTTGATCCTGGATTTGTATGCATTTTATCCAGAGAAGGTCTATTCCAGGCAGTGTATATTTTTCTAATGTGAACACTGATACAAATGAACCGTTTATTTATAAAGTACTATGTGTGTCTACCCTACTGTTTTTCTGCAGAGCTCCTCATAGTAGAGGCAGATATAAATTGCCTGATAACAAATCCCTCCTATGTATCTCTTAGGAGCTTTTGGTGGCTGTCATAAAATGGCTCCAATATTACTTGATTTTCAGCCCAGCTTTCCATTTCCACAAAGTGATGTCCCCTTCTCTGTTCATGCCATACCACTTCTTCATCAGACTTGGTCTTAATACTAGAAGCTCCTTCTGTTAGAAAAATGAAAAAGCTATGCACTCTGGGCAGCATGCTGTTGAGAAGTCGAATAGTCATGTCCACCCACATTGTTTGGAGGGGAAATAAGGTACAAATAACTGATAGGACAGCTCACTGCAGTCCATGGCAGCTGGGTCTCAGGTGGAAGCTCAGTTCCACTTGGAAAGTCACTTCTTGGGGTCTTTTCTTTGGGACTTTTACCCTGGCTTTATTATAGGGTATGAAGGGAAGGTGGTTTTCCCCACTAGACGAGAGCACTCAAAGGGAGCAGCTGGTGCACTGTCAGGAACAGAGATGGGTCTATGGCACAGCATCTACATCACAACACTCTGACATACAAAATGAACAAATGGGAATTAATTTTTCTAATAAAGCACTTTGTTTTGTATGCACAGTACTTATAATTTGAAGTTCTTAGATAAGAAGCAGAAGCAAAATTGGGTGCTGTTGCACATGCCTATAATCCCAGCTACTTGGTGGCCAGGGTTGGAGAATCACAAGTTCAGGGCGAGCCTAGGCAACTTAATGAGACCCTGTCTCAACATAAAATAAAAAAGTGCTGCTGTGTAGCTCAGTGATAGAGCACCCTGGGTTCAATTCCCTGTGCCACAAAAACAAAACAGGTAAGTAGAAACAGGAGTGAAGAGGCACAGCACCTGGGGACAAGGGCCACTTAAGTGACTAGCTTGTGAGGGGTTTCCATGAGGACATGTGCTTTGAGCATTCGTCTCTGTGCCTGGCACCTAGTCTGCTCACTGGTTGTTAATTATCACTAAATCTGATACAGGAAAGCTCCCTCTCCTATTTCCCTGGAGGCACCAGAGTCACTGCAGCATGCTCTGCTCTGCACCGAAGGCATCTTGCTCTGGGGCCTTGGCTCCTCCCAGACAGGTACAGGGTTGGAGAGCTGAGCCAGCAGGAGTGCAAGGGATGGAGAGCAATCTTTAATGCCACCGTAGGCACACTGTATTTTATTTTACTTTTTTAAAAAATATTTTTTAGTCTTTTTTTTTTAGGTGGACACAATATATTTTTATGTGGTGCTGAGAATCGAACCCAGTGCCTTACGCATGCTAGGTGAGTGCGCTGCCACTTGAGCCACAACCCCAGTCCCTATTTTACTTTTTGATACTGGGGATTGAAGCCATTTGTTTTACCACTGAGCTATATTCCCAGTCCTTTTTACTTTTTGAGACACAGTCTCCATAAGTTGCTGACGATGGTCTTGAACTTGCAATCTTCCTGCCTCAGCCTCCTGAGCTGCTGGGATTACAGGTGTGTGCCACCACGCCTGGCCTGGTTTTTATTTTAACAAAAGTGTACATGCAAGTTCCCTAAGGCCTGTTTTAAAACAGAAAGCTCTCTCTTGGCTTCCTCATCTTGAAGTAACCACTTTCAAGTCTCTGGGTTGCGTCCTTTGGCATTTCTGTCTGTGCCACTAGATAATAAACGTACACTGGTGCTCTTGACTTTTCAGCATTATTTGCAGGTGTATGGAAAACAAACACGTCCCGCTACCCCACTGCTGTCCAGGGCATTTCCCTTCCTCCCACTCATCCATCAGCTGGCTGCTTTTCTGGGACATGGGGCAACAGTGATAGGCTTCAGAGAGAATTTTTTATCTAAGTAAAAGCATGAGCTAGGAGGCATTCAGGAAGTTGGGTGGCTTTGCCCCAGGTGGTCCAGACCCAGATTGCTTCTTCCCCCTAGGATGGCCCTTGTCCCTAAGGTCCAAGGTAGCTTAACACTCAACCTTATGTTACCCCCAAAAGGAAAGAAGGGCAAGAGAAGCACACATGCTTTTTTTTTTTTTTTGCAGTACCGGGGATGGTACTGGGCTGCTCCATCACTCAAGTGCACCCCCAACCCTTTTTATTTTTTGAGACAGGGTCTCATTAACTTGTTGAGGCTGGCTCCAAACTTGAGATCCTCTTGCCTCAGTCTCCCAAGCAGCTGACTACAGGTGTGAGCCACCACATCTAGCTGTGTACACACCTTTTAAGGGCCATGATCTGAAAACTGCATACCTCAGTAGTCAGTCATGTGGCCATACCTGACTCAAAGATTCTGAAGCCTGTTCCAAAGAGGGCAGCTCCATGCCAGCTGAGACTAAAATGAAACAAAGGATCAAGATGGAAGACAAACAGCAGCCTCAGCCAAACCCCACCTCCCAGTGTGGTTCACCTTGTGGATCAGTCTGAAACAGGTCGCAGTGCAGCTACTAAGCCTCAGCAGCTTTTAACATAAGCTCATGTGCTCCTTGCTCACCTACATCTCTGCCGGCAGGTTAGAGGGCGCTGTGCTCCGTGGGCAGGTGGAGGACAACCAGCTAGGGCAGCCACAGCTGAACGCTTCTGGTTCCATGCCAGAGAGAGAATGCCAGTAAAGTCAAGCCATCAAATGCACTTAATAGCACAGTGGCCAGAATTAGCCACACCGTCTCACCCAACCCACAGGGACCAGAACTGCTGGAAGGCAGGATGCCTGGCACCTCTGATAAACAGCTTGAAAAGATGCTTAGCTTGGCCCCACCAAGTGTCATAATAGTTAATGACACACAAAAGCTGTTCACAGCTGAGCCATGCACAGCACACTATGGTTACCTAGCTTTTGTGTTTCCTGGAGTTACAGTGTTATTATCCTTCCCTAATCCTGTTCTGTCTAGGTGGATTCCAGAGTTTTCATGTGCCTTTTTTTTTTTTTGAATTTTTTAATATTTATTTTCTAGTTTTCGGCAGACACATCATCTTTGTTTGTATGTGGTGCTGAGGATCGAACCCGGGCCGCACGCATGCCAGGGGAGCACGCTACCACTTGAGCCACATCCCCAGCCCTTTCATGTGCCTCTTGTCATTTTGCAGGGTTTCTGGAGGAACAGGATCTGTGCGCCTGGGAGCCACCTTTTTGATAAACTTTAAATGCCACAATGGCCTCAGAGTTCTTCCTTGTTCCTTCCCAATAGAAGTTGCTCTGCAGAGTCATTATTTAGCTCTTTACTTTTCTCTGGCCTTAGCAGCATCAATCCTTTAGTTCTCCTGAGCAACTTCTGATAGGTGCCTGGGGCACATATCATCAAGAGTTCCTGAAATGCCCTTGAAGGCCTATTCATAGTACCAAATCCTCAGGCTCCTCTCTAAGTGTTCATATTTTGTGAAACATGACTGTTGGACCTCATGCCAAGACCTCTTCCAGGTGGGCAGCTGGCAAGCACAGCCTCTTGGGCCCCGTCCTGCCCATCACTCTGTAGCTGGTTCCGGTAGCCTTGCATCTAGGCCTGCAGTGGAGCCTACAACAGGAAGCAGCAGCCCAGCCAAATGCCAGCCAGAGGCATCCAGATGTCTGACTGTCCACTTTTATGATAGTTGGATTTTAGTACAGCAAAGGCAGAGAACAGAGAAATCCTAAGAAATGCTGCTATTAGGTGCTTTTCATAGGTCAGCTTGCACAGTAAGAAATCCTCACTTGCTCTCAAAATACTTCTGTCACATGCAGTCTTTTATTGGGGCCATACTTTTATTTCTCTGATAGCATTTGCTCTTTGGACCACAGAACCTTGGCTTCATAAGGCTAAAGCCCACATTGCCCAGGGGGATATTTCTGGGCAAGTATGGCAGAATTGAACAGGCATATACACCCTGCGTTATTTTGTGAGGCGAAGTGACATTGGTACATGTGCTCTCTGCAAGTCAGTCTTCCCTCTGGGTCCATAGTCTTTGTGCAGGATCTTATGTCTGTCAGAGCCCCTCACTCAGCTGAGCATGTAGCTTGGCAAAAAAGGAAAAAGCAGAGCAGAAAAAGAAAGAGAAAAGAAAATGGGCTGGGGCTATACTCATGGTCCTAGTAAGTCCAGGTGATGCTGGCCTGGCTAGATTCATGCTTTGGTTCCCAGTATGGCCAAAAAAAAAAAAAAAGGGGCTGAGGATGGGTCAACAGTGGTGGAGTGCTTACCTAATAAGTTCAGGGGAACTAAATCAAAGCAAATCTGCCAGAGGCAGTGGCACATGCCTGTAATTCCAGAGGCTCGGAAGGCTGAGGCAGGAGGATCATGAGTTCAAGGCCAGCCTCAGCAACTTAGCAAGGCCCTGGGCAACTTAGCAAGACTCTGTCTCAAAATAATATACAAAAAGGGCTGCGGATGTGGTTCAGAGGTTAAGCACCCCTGGGTTCAGTCCAAAAACGAAAGCAAACCTGGGACTGCCAGTTACTGTCCAGAACCTTGGACAGTTGTATGACTGTCATATGACTGTATGACAGGACCTGTTTCCTCATCTGTAAAAAGAATGGAGGAATCAGAAGTAGTGATTTCCTGAGGTTTTCCTGGCCATAAATTCTACAGGTAAGTCTTATTTGGTGAATTAAAGTTAAAATAGTCTTGGGCTGATAAGTTAAGGTTCCGAGTAGCTCAGCTGTAGCTCAGTGGTGGAGCGCTTGCCTGGCATGTGTGAAGCCCTGGGTTCAATCCTCAGCACTGCATATAAATAAATAAATAAATAAAATGAAAGATCCATTGACAACTAAAAAAAAAAAAAAAGTTCAGAAAAAAGTTTAAATGGTCTTGATAACTTAGATAAGTAATATGTTAATGATTAAATGTAAAGAAGCTAAAACAACACCACAATTAAACATTTATTCAATTCCACAGCATACACAGTCCCATGGTTTGGGATCAGAGGACTTCTTACTGGCCTGTCCCATCCTTGAACATGCAGACCATGGCTGTGTTTTTGTTGGCAGTTTTCATTTCCATGATGCCAAACTTTACCCAGTTGACGTGCTCATAAAAATCTAAATACAGATAGGTATAAAGTAAAAATATGTAATGAGGGGTTTTCTACATCAAGGTGAGTGACCTGTAAAGTATACTTAACTCACAAAAACCGGACCCCTCAGTCACTCTGCTCAGGAACTCATCAGGTCAGGAATGATGGGTAGATGAGGCAGAAGGGAAGGGTGGCCGCAGAAGGGGTGAGCACCCCTGGAGAGGCTACAGAAGCTGCCATAGGTCCAGAACCCCACGAAGGCTGGTGGGTAGCCAGGCCAGAGAGAAGGCTCTGGTCCTGGGTACAACACCAGGTCCCACCCACTGGGAGACAGGGAAGACGTCAGTGGTCTGGAGCCAAGCTGAGTGGGAAGGTCACAGGGCCCGGTGCCCTGTCTCCAGCAGCATGCTCTCCAGATGCAGCTTGCTGCTGCTCTCCACGTAGGGCTGGTGCAGCCACATTGACAGGTAGCTCAGGATGAGGTCCCGGTCCACCGTGTGCGCCAGCTCTGCACCCACAGTGCGCTTCAGGAGCAGCTCCTGCCTGTACATGTCTGAGAGCTGGAGGGAAACCTCATCTGAAACAGAAGCAAGTCTCCCTCACCAGCAGCCACGCTTTCAGAGGCTCCTGGTGAAAAGCCAGAACCAACAGCAGCACCGCAGTAGAGGAGGAGGAGTGTGTCCATCACTCTGGCTGGTGCCAGTTAGGAACGTTAGCTATGCAGCAAGGAGCACGAGATCAAAAATAAGCACAGGCCTTTGTGTTAACCTGTAGGTGACCATGACAGGAGAATTGCTCAAACTGACAGTATTACAAGCAGCTTGTTAGGCCAGGCAATTTTGTTCTTTTCTCCCTTCCTTCAGCAACTTAGCAAGACCCTGTCTCAAAATAAAAAAAATTTTAAAAAGTGGGCAGGGTGCTGGGGATGTTGCTCAGTGGTAAAGCACCCCAGGTTAATCCCCAGTCACAGAAAGAAAAAAAAGTGCTTTAAAGCGCTTAAGTGATGGATTACATTTTTCTCAATAGTCCTTTCCCATGAAGTTGGCTGCAGTCATCTTGAATAAACAGACAAAACAATTTCTTCCTCAATTAAAAAAGAATAAATAAAAGAGGAATTTCTGCCTCCACAGAGGTGGTGGACTTCATTCTATTGGGTTTAAAGAGTCAAGAATAACAACTTGCATCTCTACGTTGAATTTTCTTTGCTGTTAGGTAATTAGAGCTAAGAAGAAATGTTCATTCTAAGATGCCTTCATCTAATCTAAATGGTACTAAATCCTCTCCTGACCTCTATCCTCCTAAACATGAACTCACAAGAACTACTTACAGAAGTGGGTTGTAGGCCATGTGTGAAACAAAGGGGGCCGAGCACTCTCCTCCCCATAATGGTAATTTTCTAGTTCACAAATTCCCTTGGTAGTTGAAGACAGCTTTTCCATTTTCACCAGTATTTTGGTCTGAAAAGATATTAATTTGGAATATGTGAACATTATTTGAAATCTAAATATTATTAGAAAACTGAAATCAGTTTCAAATTCACTAGATTTCAAAGCTAAGTACTTCTGTTGAGGCCCAAACTGTAATAACCAAATGCCACTAACTCCACGGAGAGCAAATTTGCAGGGCAATGGACAGCTGCTATGGTTTCATCAGTTTGGATTACTTCCCCAATAAGCCCCTGATTTCCAGTCTTGGAGTAGAGAGCGTGCTGTCTTCCACTGCACTGCAATTAAACAGCATGTTTCAGCAAGACCTGGAGAATTCCAGGGCAGGGTCTGATGCTCTTATGGGACCAAACATGGGAGAGAAGCATAAAACAAACTAATTTCTGACTCAGATACTGAAAGCCTGTTGAGGCTATTTCCTTATTTATAAAACGATGGTACTGAATGGCAGCCTGCTCACTTGACACAGGAGGAAATGGCAGTGATCCAGCAGACCCCAGGCTCCATCCTGAGCCGCTTCACGGCCCCCTCGCACAGCCACCCCTGCTGCGCACGTGAGACAGCTCGGAGCGGGCCAGTGTCTGCCTTCATGGGGGAGGACGAGGGAGTGAAAGCCCCTGGAAGCCCCTGGTGGAGCTATATGAGTGGTTGTTAAATAAAATAAACAGAAGGGACTGGGCTCATTGGTAGAGGGCTTGCCTCGCATGCACAAGGCCCTGGGTTCAATCCCCAGCACCACACACACACAAAAAGGGTAAAATAAATAGAAGAAACTAGGATTTCAGATTTAAGTAGCACAGGTCTACTAAGATCAAATTTCTAACTCCTGGCATAACTGACTTTATGAGCATGGGGTGGGGAAATAAAAAACATACGAATCACCAAAATCTTAATTTCTTGCACTTGGTCCTTCCAACCACCTCAAATTACCTCTGAAGGGGCATGCACTAAATTTAGGTAACTTTGATTTTTTTTTTAAATATTTATCTTTTACTTTTTATCAGTCTTTTTTTTTTTTTTAAGAGAGAGTGAGTGAGACACAGAGAGAGAGAGAAATTTTTTAATATTTATTTTCTAGTTTTCGGTGGATACAACATCCTTGTTTGTATGTGGTGCTGAGGATCGAACCAGGGCTGCACACATGCCAGGCGAGCGCCTACCACTTGAGCCACATCCCCAGCCCTTCCATTTTATTTTTATGTGGTGCTGAGGATCGAACTCAGTACCTCATGTGTCTTAGGCGAGCACTCTACCACTTGAGCCACAACCCCAGCCTGGTAACATTGATTTTTAAAGATTCCTTTCTTGAATCTTAGGTTTAATATTTCAATGGGCCCAACCCCAAGAGGCAGGACTCATCACTTCTGTTTCATAGCTGAGAAAACTGCTTAAGGTTGAACTAGGGAAAAATAAGGCCAAACTTGAATAGAAATAAGGCCTTTTGTCCCCAAGTCTCTCAACACCCAAACCTTTGTGCTTTCCTCTGCATCCTGTGAGAACTCCCTGACTCTAAGAAAAACTTACAAAGATGAAGAAAGTGAGGAAAATCCTGGAGCCATGACCCTATGCTAGAAGGGCCATGCCCAATTTTGCAGTTTGGCCATCAATAGGGACAAGGTCATGCATGTATGTATGAACTGATAGCATGTTAGCAGCAGACCATGCTCACACTTCAGCATTGAGAGTGTCTCCAGAAGCGAACCCAGACTGAGTCCAGCTCAGGCAAAGGAGTGCACCAACATCCAAGGTCAAATTTATTAAAGACTATTGAGCAGAGTGCAGTTGCACACACCTATAATCCCAGCGGCAGAGGAGGCTGAGACAGGAGGATCACCTGTTCAAAGCCAGCCTGAGCAGAAGTGAGGCACTGAGCAACTCAGTGAGACCCTGTCTCTAAATAAAATACAAAATAGGGCTGGGGATGTGGCTCAGTGGTCAAGTGCCTGAGTTCAATCCCTGGTATCCCCACCCATCCCCCTAAATAAAGACTACTGAAGCTGAGTCTGGGAAATTATTCTCTCCAAATGCTGGGAGGAAAATAGGAAAAAAATAATATTAATAGCTGTACAATCTCAGCATTCGGTTTTTGAACATAGAATGAGGACTTATTATTCTAAGACTGAGGCAGGACATGCACAAGATGAGCCTGGAACATCTTTCAATGCCAGCAAATGCAGAGTGTTCATAAAATCCACAACCAATCCAAACTTCACTGTGAAGAGAGACTTTCAAAGGAACATATGAGCCAACTGCATTCCCAATGGCCAAAGTAGGGACAATCTGAGCAAGAAATAAAGTAGATTTGGATCACAACCCAAAGTATAAAGTAAATAGAAGTCCAAACTGATATAGATGACAAATTGAATAATTAACAAAAAAGGGAGAAGAGACAAAGTTCCCATGTGGAAGAATTACAAATAATGTCTATACATACTCTGTCCTCAGGAGGTGCTTACATTTCAAATGATTGGAAATAAATCAAAAGAAGAATAGAATTTTGTGATACATGAAAATCATGTGAAATTCAAATTCTGCATCCATCAATAGTTTTTTTTTTTTTTTAGAGAGAGAGAGAATTTTTAAAATATTTATTTATTTTAGTTCTTGGTGGACACAACATCTTTGTTTGTATGTGGTGCTGAGGATCGAACCCGGGCCGCACGCATGCCAGGCGAGCGTGCTACCGCTTGAGCCACATCCCCAGGCCCCCATCAATAGTTTTATGGGAACATAGTCACATCCATTTGCTTATATATACTGCCATTGCCCTATGAGGCAGAGTTGAGCAGTACGAGGACAGAGATGGTCTGGCCCATGAAGCCTAAAACATTCGCTCTGTGGACTCTGGAAGTGGACGAACTGCCCTGGACAATGTACTGTGCAGAAAGAGTGGGTGTCCAGAGCCACATCTTGGGGAACATCAAATTTGTGGGATGGGGGGCTGGCGCTGGTGCTCAGTGGTAGCGCACTTGCCTGGCATGTGTGAAGCACTGGATTTGATTCTTGCCATTGCATATAAATAAAGGTCTATCAACAACTAAAAGATGGGCCCAACCCCAAGAGGCAGGACTCATCACTTCTGTTCCAAAATTAAAAAAAAAAAAAAAAGATTTGTGGGATGGGTAGAGGAAGAGAGCATCAGAGAAGCCTGAGAAGCAAAGAATTACCAATGGTGTTAAATGCCAGAAATGATCAAGCAAACCCCAAAGAGGTCCACTGGACCCAGTGACAGTGACCACAAGTGGCCAGTAGGTCTTACCAAACCATCCAAGGTGGTCTGTAGTTCCTCACATAGCACCTCAAGCTCCTTATCATATTGTGGATACATCTTTTCTTCATTTCCATTGGAAGCTGGGCTGCTGCTATTTAATTCTATCTTGTCTTTACTCCTGGATAAAATAGCAAATAATGGGTTAAAGTCCACGATGTGCATGGCCATTCTAGGAGAGCACAGGCTGGTGAAACCAGCAGGAAGCCAGGGGATAAAGGCTCTGCCAGTAGACAGAGGCAAGCTACGGGGTGTTCAGGTATTTTAAAATTATAACTTTGATAAATTAAGAATTTATACAGGAAAATGCAAAAATAAAGCAGGTCTGGGTTGTAGCTCAGTGGTAGAGTGCTCGCCTAGTACACATGAGGCAATGGGTTTGATCCTGAGCACCACACAAAAATAAATAAAATAAAGGTATTACATCCATCTTCAACTAAAAAAAATAAAGCAAAGCCTTTAATTAGAATTTGCAACTGCTAATAATTTTTCATAAGTCCCTTGTCTTTTTTTAAGAAATAAAATAAATTGGGTGTGGTGATGCACACCTGTAGCCCCAGCTATTTGGGAAGACCAGGCAGGGGGACCACTTGAGCCCAAGAGTTCGAGATCAGCCTGGGCAATGCAATGAGTGATACCTATTTTCAACAATGACAACAACCACAACAACAAGAGCAGGAAGAAAAATTTTAAAAAACAAGGAAAATGTAACAGTCTGAACATGAAGTCTCATTACTTACCACCCAACCATTCGTCCTAGAAGGTGCCAGTACTGTGAGTTAAGCCTGTATCACGTTTTTTTTTCCTTCAATACTGGAGATTGAACCCAGGGATGCTCTACCACTGAGCCACATCCCCAGCCCTTTTTATGTTTTATTTTGTGACAGGGTCTTGCTAAGTTGCCCAGGCCGGCCTTGAACTTGTGATCTTATTGCCTTGGCCTCCTCAATGGCTGGGATAACAGCAGTACACTACCATGTCTGGTCCTTTAATCTATTTTTATAAGTTCATACACAGATGTAACCATGAATAATACATAGCATAACTTTGTATTTAAAATGGATATATACAATAAGTAGTGGGGTGTGGTAGTACACACCTGTAATCCCAGTGACTCGGGAGGCTGAAGCAGGAGGATCGTAAGTTGGAGGCCAGCCTCATTAACTTAGCAAGGCTCTAAGCAACTCAGCAAGACCCTGTCCCAAAATGAAAAATAAAAAGGGCTGGGGATGAAGCTCCATGATTAAGGGAACCCCTCCAAAAAAGGTGTATACACAATAAATAAACATAAGCTCAAGTACTAAAAAAATGCTCATATACACTTCATACTTGCATATATAATTTACTGCTTTTCTTGCTTACTATTTTATTTTTAAATTCATTTATCCTGATAAGTTCTTACCCTAAAAGACTCCCTTGACTCTTCTGCCCAATGGTTAAGGGTGAAGGTTCAGAGTGTGAGGAACTCTAAATGTACTTACAATAAACTGATTTTCAAGTTGGCAATGTTATTTGCGGTGGTAAAACCTGCATCACTGAGGGTTTCCCATTTCAGGATTAAATTGTGCCAGTCAGCTGCATTGTCCTTAATTTTTCTTGCACTGACTGACAAGACAGGCTTTCTGGGTGTTGTAACTCCAAGAGTCTTTGCTGTAGGAGTAAGAGAAACAATTATTATGGAAAACATGATCATAGTCGGAGGACACATGTCTTATTAACTGTCAACAAACCGACATTCTATTTTTAAAGATTTTTCTTACTTATACATGGACACAATATCTTTGTTTTGTTTATTTATTTTTATGTGGGGAGAAGGATTGAACCCAGTGCCTCACATGGGCAAGGCAAGCACTCTGCCACTGAGCCACAACCCCAGCCCCAAACTAACATTCTTTGTCAACTAGACAAATAAATGTCACAAAAGCTAAGAGGTCTGGATAAACATGAAAGTTTCTAAAACAAGAAAAGCCAAAACTTTTAAAAATTACTTAAGACACATCAGATATAGCTGATCCTTTCCTAGCTTAATGGCTCCACAAAGTTTTTTTTTTTAACTTTTTTTTTTAAAGAGAGAATTTTTATATTTTTTAAAAAAAGTTTTTTGGCGGACACAACATCTTTGTTTGTACGTGGTGCTGAGGATTGAACCCAGGCCGCACGCATGCCAGGCGAGCGCGCTACCGCTTGAGCCACATCCCCAGCCCTCCACAAAGTTTTGACCTTGGCATTTTAACTACTTTCAAAGGCTGGAAGTGAAGTTGTAACTCTCTGCGAGAACCCTTGGATGGCTCCCATTCCATTTCCTAAAGGATAATCTGGCTTGACTCCTTAGTACTCCCACTCTCCAGTCTCAGGCACTTTGTTCAGAGACATGTGGCTCACTGGAGCTTCTAAGATACTGAGAAGGAAGGACACCAGAGATGCAAAGGGAATCCTGACGAGACCTCCTCTGCCTTTCCTGGGGCTCAGGAGGAAGTTCTGGCTCCGTCAGGCCCTGGCACTCTTGGCAATACCAGTTTTCATGATCTCCAGTTAAAGTGAACCTAGCAGTTTTTGTGTGTCGGATTTTTGTTCTGGTACTGGGGATTGAACCGAGGGGTGCTTTACCACTTGAGCCACATCCCCAGCCCTGTTTATGTTTTGAGACAGGGTCCTGCCACATTCCTTAGGGCATTGCTAAGTGGCTAAGAATGGTCTGGAACTCGCAAACCTCCTACCTCAGCTCCTGAGTCACTGAGATTACAAATGTGTACCACTGTGCCAAGCTTCTAGCAGCTCCTGAAAAGGCCTCTGCACATGCGTTTTTCTTCTAAAAGCTCCTTCCTTCTCAGGCTAGTGCTGCCTCCCTCAAGCTAAACCCAGATCCCACTGTCTGGAGGAAGCAGTCCCCACACCACCAAGAGCCTCCCGGGCAGTTTGTTCTACCCCAGCACTCCCTTCTCCACTGAGAACTTCATGGCCCTGGAGGAATACAGAAAACACAAAAGTTGTATGGTTTGGAGGGTAGACTAATAAAAATAGTATCTGCTTCACAGTGTTGCTGAGAGGAGATGCCTATGTAATGTTGTGAGGGGCTGGCCCATGGCAAGGGTCAGTATACCATCTGATGTCCAAGGCCCTGTTACCAAAGTCTGCACACCCTTCTTCAGCTTGATCCTTTCTCACTTGCAATCCATGCCTCAGTGCTGGGTCTGTATAAGCTTCAACATGAATTAGAATGTTTCTGCTATTAGTGTGTCTTCAATCACCTGGCATTCTAGAGGGGTCTTCTTTTAAGTATATTGATTCTTCATTCACTCTGAAACAACTAATGTTTGCTGGCTGCCTACAATATGCCAGGCATGAAGGATGAAGTGCCTGAATAAGATAGCCATTGCTGTGGAAATGACTTTCCAAAGGGGCAAGAGATGATAAATGACCAAGAAACAGTCCAGATTCAGTATGGCTAGGATAAAATGGAGGGGAGCGGGTAGTGTGTTAAGAGGGGACCTCACAATTAGAACCTTGCATGCCAAGACAGGAAGTTTGGGCTTGTTCTATGTACAATGGAGAGTAAGCAGTGTGCTGGGAGGAGGGCAATGGCATGATCTTAGATTTTTAGAAAGTCATTTCCATAAAGTCTCCTGGATCCCCCAAGGTGGGTTAGGACTCACTGCACTAGTAACTGGAACATCCTATGCTTCTGCTATCTTGACATTCAGCAGCGAGGTGCCCCAGTCCCTGTTGGACTGAATCCAACCTGAATAGGTTCTGTTTATCTTGTTCCCTTTCATACCTTCTGCACATAGTAGGTGCTGAATAAAATGTGTTAGGTGGAGGAATTGCTCTTATTATCATCTGTACTGAAATTGTCTAAAGTTTTCTCTTCCCCAGTAGGGGTTCCTGAGGATGAGGATCCCATCTGATTCACTGTCTGCTTGCCAGGCACCTAGTGAGAAATTGATGTGACTCCTTTTTGAAAAAGGCTTCTACCTCAAGGCCTGTCCAAGGAAGGGGGCGTGGCCCTTGTCCTTGGAAAAACCCACAGAGCACTCCTAGGCACATAACCACACTGCTGAGTTGTTTGTCTGCAATAACAGGAGAGATCTGCTGCACCAGGTGTCCCTGACTCAGTTAGGCTAGGTGAGAACCCATAGCAACCCCCTAAGCAACCACCAATCAGCATGAGACAGGGAAAATACCTGGGATGCCAGATGACCCCCCCCCCCAGTAGTTTATGGTGGTGGATAACATGTTGGGAAACCATGTAGTTCAGCACGTACTCCCCTCATGGCTTAAACCAATCAGTTCAAACAAATCCCCCTCTTGTACTAACCAAACATCCCTATCCAACTTGTACCCACCATTGAATGTGCTAATCAATGTTAAGAGTTGTTGTTTGATTTTCCCGCGGAATGGAATGATTTGCTGTGTGATGTTGTGACGCATAGAGTATCTCCCCAAAACCTATAAAATCTCACTGGACAAAGCACCAGGGCTTACTCCCTGGGACACCTGCATCAGAAACAGTTGTGAGTCCAGGCTCACAACCAGCTTGCAATAAAGACTCTTGTGTGATTGCATCAGAATCGGCTCCTGGAGGTCTACTGGGGTCCCAAGAATCTGGCATTATACTAGTACATACTTAGGAACCAAAAAACAGCTTCAACTTTAAGAAACTCACAGGCTAGTAGGGAGAGAACAGTAATCAGAGCCACAGAACAGGGCAGATGAGGCATAACCCAGTGGTTAAGTTACTTATTCCCTTCATGCCAGGGCTTCTCACTGCAAAATGGAGCTGACTTAAAACATTACTGGTGCTCAGTGAGCACTCTACAAGCAGAATGTTCTGGCAACCTTCACTGACAGTTCAAGTAGAAGTTTCTGGAGGTGATGGGCATGCAAGGCTTGGCGCCCAATTTGCTCCATTACTGTTACTTATTATTTATTTATTTCTGTGGTACTGAGGTTGAATCCAGGGGCTTTCTACGCACACCTGCCATCCCAGAGATTCGGGAGGCTGATCCCAAGTTTGAGGCCAACCTCAGCAACTTAGAGGACTGTCTCAGAAAATAAAAAAGGACTGAAGATGTAGTTCAGTGGCAGAGAGCCCATAGGTTCAATCCCCAGTGACGCCAAATAAATAAATAATGACGATAATTACCATTCGAGCGTCAGGTTGCTGATACTCCTTTGCACACATCATCCGTTCAGCTGTCACTCCACACGTGAAAAAAACGGAGGCGCAGCAAAGATGGCCCCAGCCGACCACAGAGGCTGCGCGGGGCCGGCACACCGGGCTGGGCAAGGCACCACAGCACTTAATCAAGGCGGCCCGGCCCGCGACCAAAAGCCTGGCGCCCATAGCCTCCCCAACCCGGAATCTAGCCCTCTCACGCACCTTCCATGCGGGCGGCAGAAATCCCAGGAAGGAGACCCAAGCCCCGCCCACTCACAGGAAGCGCTAGCGTCACTTCCGCCCCGCCCGCCGCCACTTGTGGCTCGGTCGCTCTAGCCCCCGGCGGAGTCGGTTGTCGCTCGCCAGGTCGGCCCGGTTGCCCAGGGAACGGGCTCCCGGCGGCCCCCGCGGCCCGGAGTCCATCCCCGCCTCCTCGGGCCCCGCGGGGCCGACGAGTCCGGAGGGGCTGCCGCGGGAGGTGAGTCCGGCCACGCTGAGGGCGGCCGACGTCCCGTCGCCTCAGCCCTGGGGTCCCCACCGCCTGCTCGTCCGCTGCCCTGAGCCACCGTCCGCCCGCGCGCAGCGGCGGGGACCCAGCTCCCTAGCACACGGAGCGCCTGGCAGAGGCCCGCGGGCCGCAGAGGGGACTTGGCGGAGCTAGGTCCTCCGACACCGCCCCGGGCCCGCGCCGCGCGCCCCTGTTCTTCCCCCTCGCTGCCCAGGTGCCCACCTGCCTCGGGGCTCCAGGCGCCTCAGCCGCGTGATTGACGTTGTGATCCGTCCCCCGGGCTGTCCAGCCCGGGTCCCTGCCTCCGCCCGCCCCCGCCTCAGCAGGCTTTGACTCCTAGGTGTTGAGTGACTCCCCTCTCAATCCGTTTATAAGGCAGAGTGGGGTACCCTGGAGTCAGAACCGGGGTCGGGTCACAGCGCTGCCACTTCCCAGCAGTGGGATGGAGCAAGCGCAGCCACCTCTCTAAGCTTCCGTTTCATCTCAGTAAAGTGGAGATAACAGCGTCTGTGTCGGGAGAGGTGGGAGGATTAAGTGGGCCAGTGCCTGCAGTAAAGCAGTGCTTGGTGCAAGGATCTCAATAAATAGCCCTGCTGTCATCCCCTCCATCGGTGCTGCCCTCTCTTTCTGATACTGGGGATTGAGCCCAGGGGCGCTCTACTACTGAGCAGCACTCCTAGTCCCCGCCCTGAGACAGGCCTTGCTCTGTTGCTGAGCCTGGCCTCGAACTTGTGATCTTCCTGCTTCATCCGTGTAGTTCTCTTTTTCTTTCCACTGGTCCCTTCTTATGTCTTCTGACTTTCTCATTACTTTAGCTTCTCCCACTTGACTTCCATTTCTCTTACCTGCTCTTTGTTTTCCAGCTCTTTCTCACTGAGATAGGGGAGTTTTATTCTTTTGTCACTTCTGTTCAGTTTGTTGGCAGAATGTGGGATACACCCTCTTCTCATCTATTGGGATGATGAGTTGCACTTGGGGTTGACTGCTTCCTTGCAGCCAAGATCTTGGAATCTTTAAGGAAGGGAATTCTGGGAAATTCCGATGGCCAGATCCCAGGGATGGGCAGAATCTGACCATGAAGCTGCTATAGCCCCTTGTCACTGTTGAGTCCTAGTCTTCTAACCTGTAAGAATTTTTTAACTTTCCTACACCCAGATATAATGCATGTTGATAGACCTCTACCTTGCTTTTTTGGTGACTTGATTTACATTCAATATTTGTTCATTCAGGAGGTAGTTATTGGAGTATGTTTTGTGTCAGCTATTGTGCCAGGCCCTAAGGATACTATGGTTTGCCATGTGGACCCAGTTGCTGCCCCCAGGGAGCTCTGGTCTGGCCTTTGAACTTTCCAGTATGAGAATCAACTGCTGCCATAGGGTCTGCTCCACTTGAGTTTCATGACCCACTTGGAAACCAGTGATGGACAAGATGGAATAAGAGAGTTTCTTCTGCAGGATTTATGAAGAAGCTTGGCTAGGTTTAAGTTATTTTGTAGCCACATCATCTTTTTACATCCTAAGTTTGTTTTCAGTTTTTCTTTTAGAGAAGTTAACACTTCAGGTTTAAGGAGGAGGTCAGCTTATTTTAGCCTCTATATAATTTGACAAAATGGCTACTGTAACTTAGTGGGGGAAAAGGAAGAAAATGGCATCAAGCAGAGTAATTAATTGAGTTGGATAGATAAGGAGCAAATCAGGAAATCCTTATACACATAATGAAAATGAGCTTTGGCGTCAAGCGTGCAGAGATTTCTAGGTATAGTGATACCCAGGGAGCTTGATAGAATCAGGAGGTAGTAGTTAGTGTCTTTGTGAATTGTTGAGGTAGAAGTGAACTGTTGTTCAAAACGTGTGTTCATTTTAACAAGAATGTGTTCTTTGATTTGGATGAAAGTATTCCCATGAATTTTTGACACTATCTTATATTTAGGACTATCATACTTGGGGAAATCTGGCATAATGTTTGAGAGCAATTAATAATAAACAAATATGGGTTGAGTGTTGATTGTACTATACTTTCTATTGGTCTTTTGAAGCACCACAAAGTATATAGACCCAAAGGACATAAGTAAAGACTAGGAAGAATTCATTGAAGGAAATAGAAAGCAGATAATGGTGGGGCCTTGTGAAAACTGTTCTCATAAATTTCTGGGAAAGTAGAGAAGGACAAAGTATCTGAGGGTGTCTCGAAGACTTTCTGATAGAGGAGGACTATATCCTAGGATGTACACCGGTGAATGGGGAAGGGAGGAAAGGGACTTTGCAAATATGTGTAGATTGTTGTGTGTTCGATGTCTGTGGTGGATAGTTCCTTGCAGCTGGGACCAAAAATGGGGATGGAAGAGTGGTCTGGGAGGAGTTAGAGACATCTTTTTGTCAAAATGTCCATGTTTGGGTTAGGCTTTAGCCTGTGAGCACTGGTTATCTAGCAGGAATGGGAGCAGGGAAGTGACAGAATTTCATCTTGAAGATGAAATTACTCTCTCAGTCCCATTCTGTTCTGCCATAGAATTTATTTACTTGTTAATTTTCCTTTTTAGTACTAAGGATTGAACCCAGGGGTACTTAACCCACTGAGCCACATTTTCAGCCCCATTTCTTTTTTTATAATTATTAGATTTTGATGGACCTTTGTTTTATTTACTTATTTATATGTGGTGCTGAGAATCGAACCCAGTGCCTCATGCATACTAGGCAAGTGCTCTACCATTGAATCACAACCCCAGTCCCTATTTATTTTTTATTTTAAAAATTTGGGGGAGTTACTGGTGATTGAACCCAGAGGCACTTAACCACTGAGCCACATCCCCAGCTCTTTTTTCACTAAGGTTTTTAGGGCCTCACTACGTTGCTGAGACTGATCTTAAAATCTTCTTGCCTCAGCCTCCTGAGTCTCTGGGATTCCAGGCATGCACCACCACACCAAGTTTTTTTTTTTTTTTTTTAAAGAAAGAGTGAGAGAGGAGAGAGAGAGAAAGAGAGAGAGAGAATTTTTAATATTTATTTTTTTTAGTTCTCGGCGGACACAACATCTTTGTTGGTATGTGGTGCTGAGGATCGAACCCAGGCCGCACGCATGCCAAGCGAGCACGCTACCGCTTGAGCCACATCCCCAGCCCCCCAAGTTTTATTATTTATTTTTTGGGGGGTGGGTACCAGGGATTGAACTCAGGGGCACTCAACCACTGAGCCACATTCCCAGCCCTATTTTGTATTTTATTTAGAGACAGGGTCTCACTGAGTTGCTTAGTGCCTTACCATTGCTGAGGCTGGCTTTGAACGGGTGATTCTCCTATCTCAGCCTCCTGAGCTGCTGGGATTACAGGTATGCACCACCGTGCCCAGCTTTATTGTTAGTTTTTTTTAGTTGTAGATGGACACAATACATTTATTTATTTATTTATGTATGTATGTATGTATGTATGTATGTATGTATGTATGTGGTGCCGAGGATCAAACCCAGTGCCTCACATGTGCTAGACAATCACTCTACCACTGGGCTACAACTCCAGTCTCTTATTTTTTATTTGAAATAGCATCTCACTAAATTGTGTAGGGCCTTGCTGAGTTGCTGAGGCTGGCTTGGAACTTGTGATCCTCCTGCCTCAGCCTTTTGAGTCATGGGTTTAAATGCATACGCTATCAAAACCAGCCTGCCATAGAATTTAACAATTCAAATAATTATTGGTGTTGTAGCCAGACTTTCAAAATAAATTGTATAGCCAGATGGGGTGTCGTATGCCTATAATCCCTGCCACTTGGGAGGTTGAGGCAGGAAAATCACAAGATGGAGGTTAGTCTCAGCAAGTTAATGAGACCATATCTGAAAATAAAAAATAAAAGGATTGGGGTAAAACACTCCTGCATTCAATCCCAGTACAAACAAAACAAACAACAACAACAAAAAAAACCCTATAGAATTTGAAGAGCTAAAAATACTGAAATATGCCTGCAGGTCTAATCAGACACAGGGCATCTCTCTCTACTTGCTGATTGTCCATCAGAGCTGTGACTGAGTTGGCAAGAACCCAGGACTTGGAAAAGACCTAAATTCAAGTCTCAGCTGAGTCTTGTGATCCTCCATCCCCCAGAACCTTTTTCTACAAGTTCGGGATGATGCCACCTGCTTTCTAGGGTAGGGCAAAGATTTAAGGAGTGACCTTGTTAAGCATGTTGTGCTGGATAAAGATAGAGTATCTTGATTCAGGGAAGGTTGGAATCCAGAATGCAAAGAGGCCTGGGGCTCCTTGTGGCACAGGTGTGAGGTGCTAGGCTTCTGGCACTAAGGTGGCTGTAGGCACTGTAGGACCTGTTCTTCCCAGCTCATTAACACAGGGAGTACAATTCTGCATCTGGATGGGTTCACTGTTCTAGTACAAAGCATCTGTCCAACCTGTTGTGCTTCAAAGTTCTGGATTTTTTCCATGAATTGTTCTCTATATTTGCTTTAATCCACACTGATCTCTCCTTCATCTCATCGAGACCCATGGATTAGCACCTGATTACTTATGGTTCTGTGTCTCACTCTTTCATTGCCTTCCTGTCTGAATCTTAAGCTACTTGAGAACAACATAAAAACAGAGGCAAGTACATATTGAATTACATTTTGAACTAAAATGCTCAAATATAATCTCAGTAACATCTCCTTTACTTTCTCCATTTAAGCTCCAGCTATAATTTTTACCTGCCTGAAAGTTTCATGTTCCTACTGTTTAGAAATTACCTCTTTTCAGTATGGATGGGTATTAAAGACCTGTAATTCTTCTGTAGCCCCTAGGTTTCCCTAGATGATAAGTCATCATTCCTCTTCCTGCCTGAAGATTGTCTCTG